TCGTGACCGTTCCCGGGACTCGCCGCGAAAATAGAAGAAATGGGAGAATCAATTTTGCCGGAAGCGCGCGGTAACGTAACCATCTCGACACCGCGCGCTCGATTATTACACACGGTCGGACTTATGTCGTACATACTCCACTTACTCGCCCGATACCGGAGCACACATTGCGCCAATTTCGAGGGAAATAGACAGGAGCAACGACCGAGCCGCGGCTGAATACGATCTTGATATAAAACGCGAAAAATTCGCAATCTTCTTTTACGAGACGTGTCACCGGGTTAGCGAGGAATCAACTGCTTATTTCGCAGACACGCGACTTCCGGCAATTTCAACGGTTCAATGCACCCGCGGCTGAAGATGAAATATGATGCACTTTACATCGGACAGCGAATTCTCACTGCTTTAACCGTGATATTTATATTTGTACAGTTTTAGCTCTACTTTGCAGAAAATGTGATAATAAAAGTTTGTATATTTAGGAAAGAAAGCGAAAACATGGTGAATTTAAATGTTCACACACTTATCAACAATAACCGCGGATGAATCACGACAAAGTTAAATTATGGGGGTATTTTTCCAAAGAACATCCATCAACTGCAAAGTCATATTTCTATTTTAATACGCCAACTTTCACGATGATTGATTATTAAACGATGATGACGTGTGTGTAGAAAATAGAGGTCCGCGCATCGTTATTCCTCTATCAAGCTTTACCGCTCCGAGAATAGAAAATATAGGTATATTATACAGCTGTGCCAATGGCACAATCGTGTGCCATTTCTAAACACGGTTCTATTATTTTCATTTTCCATTATAGCGACTGGCAGCAGTTTCGTAGAAGTGGCACATAAGTTAAACGAAGTCACGAGCGACATGATCACGTTGAATATACATAATCCATGTAATGTAGAAATAATTCCGAGCAACCCGAGTAACATAATGTAATTTTATAACAATAAAGTATAATAAACAAGAATTCTTCCTTCGTTCAAAACAGAAAAATGAAGATAGAAAGCTATGAGCGAGTTTTTCACGATTTTACATAAATGACTGAAATGTTTTACCTCTAGAATCACATCATTTTTGAAATGTTGGTATAATTGATAAAACATCAAAAACTGAAATTTCTGATGCGTTAATAAACTTAAAAATAAAATATAAAAAAAATTGAAATACAAAAATATCGGATGCTATTTTATTTTGTACAAAAAAAACAATAACTTTTCTATTTTAATCAAAATTTGAATGGCAATACGTTTCCTAAAAAATTTTCAAGTTTTAATGGAAAGCTGAAAGATTGTAGATCGACGAACTGTCACGTATATGTGCGTGTTCTTTTACCTATAAATCCCCTCGTATGCATCTCATACAATTAGACGATTCCTGCGCGTGACAGCAATTTCCACGGACAATGTGTACACACTACGCTTCGTGACGGATAATATTCGTTTTATGAGAAACAGTTTAAATACTCCATGCTGTGTAATTATTTTGAAGTTTTAAGTGATCTTTTCCACGAGTTATTATTAACTAAGTTCTATTCAGTTTTCGACCGACGTAAAACAAGGCGATGTCTCCGTCGACTCCAATTCTCTCGGCGCACAATAACGAGTTTGTAACATGGTCCCGGATTAACTCTCGAGAATGCTATCTATCGCAGAATGCTGCGATGTATAGGAAAATACGCTTGAATAAAGGGAATAATGCCTTTTATAAATGTTACATCGGTCTATGCGCCGAGCAATGAAAAATCTGCAAGCAAATTTATCCAAGGTTTTTTATGATATGCATTCAACAAAATGATTCAAAAACTTTTGACCAGACATTCTAGATATTCTTTCGTACATTAAAAATGTAATGTAAAATAGTTAGATTTATTTCTAATTATTTGAATATTTTTATATACCCAAAAATTAAATATAAAATAATTATTTATATTATTGGTGAATTTGAAAAATGATATTATTTTATATTTCACATTCGGGAATTACATGTATATTTCTGTCATTTAAAATACTGTGAAATATAAAGTAATATCATTTTCAAAATTTCACGATTATTTCAATCAATACCTTAATTTTTGCAGCACGTCGGAAATGCATATTACATCGAGGCTATTAGACCGTTTTACGCCTCGAAGATCAAAGATCTCTCAAAATAGACGAAGTCCTTAACGACAATCGACGTGCACTGTCACTTTGAGAAATACGCGTAAATTCGTTTACCGAATATCATTAATCACAGATATACAAATGTTCTCTTCGTCCTTTTCCCTCGTCGCTGACAAATGAAAACTCACAAAGCGATATGGAAAAAATGGCAATACAAAGAGTGTCAATCTCAGTAGAAACGATGGAACGTGAAAACGGGAATGCACATTTAACCGCTGGTCTATCTTTCAATCACAGGCGAGAGATTCCAACGAGGACGCGCGTTTCTCAGCGGAATTAAAGCTCGGCATGACGATGTGCAGCTGCAAGCGACCGGGCGGCGACCACACGGCCAATACATCGTCCCGAGATTGATCCTCGTTCTTCAAATCGTCCTCCTCTACATTGCTTCCGACTCGTTCCTTCGACCCGGCGTCTCCCTCCTTCCGCACTTCGCCTTCCATCGCGTTCTTTATCTTGGATAACCGCTTTCGCGCGAGTTTCGCCTCGGTTACCTTCGTAACGCAGTCCAACTTGCAATTCTTCTGCAACTTGTAATTCTGCACGGCTATGCGCTCTCTTTCCGCGTAGACCGAACTCTCGCGAGTTTGCGAAAGATGCCTCCTCCTCCGGGCGGCGCTCCACCGGCGATCCTCCTCGGCTTTCGAACTCTCTTCCGATTCCATTTCCAACTCGTAATCCTGAGCTCGTCCGGAGAGATCCAGCCATTGTAACACTCGCTCCGACAAAGGATTCCACTGCGCGTCCGATGATCTGTCGGCTTGTTTGCATTCCGTCATACCGGAGAACGTTTCCCGCCGCAAACGAAATGATTGCCTGACGTTGCTATAATGAAAGAGGCTTCCGCTCGTCGGAAATGTCGATTCTTCTCTCTCTAGTGTTTCATAGTTCTCGCAATTTTCGTCCAATTTGTCGACGTCGTTTACGTAGATTTCTAAAAGGCCTCCGGCCTTTTCGCTGCACATCCTCGTGCATGGCGGAGCGGATTGCCTGCGCACGATTTTCGGCGGGCTCTTGCTGTCCGAAAAACTTTTTTCCACCACCACGTGCAGATTCATGAAACAGGTGTTCAAGCGATCTAATCTGGTCTCGGTCGGCTGATGTTTTGCGGGGAAGCTCTTCTCCGCGGGCGTCTGCGGACGCCGACGTAGGCGCGGATTAACGGCGGGATCATCGGGCGATAAGACAGCGTGACGCATACCGTCTACCCAAACCGTTCGGACAAATAGAGGCCTCTCCGACGACGCCCATATAGCCGGCATAACGCGGAAGAAAATCAACGACTATTCCGACAGCGGTAATTTACAAGTTTAATAAAGAAGCTTAGCGTTTTATATATTTGTCATAAATTATTTTAGAATTTAATGGAATTGTATCTAACACTGCACAATAAATATAGATATAATATTAAATTAGTAATTTATTAATATATTTAAATAATAAGAAATGTTTTCAGAATTAAAACTATCAATAATAAAATAGAAAGTTAATGCTTGGCAGCTGCCATTCCTTCAATATTCTTCAATAATCGTGTGCGAAGATATCGCGGATGACATTGTCACGGTGCCGTTTCTCGCGAAACTGCAGAAAAATGTGAGAAAAGAACGGAAATGTAATTACATCGGTGACAATCGCGACTAGCGTTGCCGCGCCGTGAAACGGCCGGGACGTTCGAGAGTCGACGGCTTCGCGTTTCTTTCTAATCTGACACGTAAATTCGCTCGAATCGGCCGACGTATCGACTCGCGAGCGTACAGGAGGACAGGTAAGGTTTCGACTGTTTGGGACACGCGATCCGAGCCGCGCGATGCCTGTGACCATGGCGCAGCCACGAGCCCACGTTTATATGCGAACGAGAGGAACCACCGGAAGGAAGGGATGGACTGCGGAGGGGTTCGTGCGACCTCCGCATCCCATGCCTAATGGTACGTCACTCCGACCCCATAAATCAGGGGAAAGTTTTGCGAGTTATACCCCGCGCGCGCGCGACTGTCCCCCTCGAAGCATTCCCTTGAAGTCGCTGCTGAATTATTAAATTGTTGCTTCCTCGTGTCTCCGCCGTTATCTCGGCGATTAGATCTGATAGCCGAACGATTACAATTGCGAAGTACGGACGAGAAGTCAATTGAGAAATAAATTAGACTTGTGTCCTTAATCACTATCATTGAAGGAGCAATTTTAATAATGGGATGATACGTACGGTCGTAAATTGCACTGTGACGAAGTTTTAATGACATCGTATCGCTGCATAATTTGAAGCTCGTGTAATGACTTTTCCAAAGGTTAATTCGATTTTATATGCGATATATATACTGGAAAGGTAACACTGGTAGCCGCACGACGTTTAACATTTTCATGCTTGGCAGGATGATACACGGAATCTATTCAATTAATTGCCCTCTGGCCGGTTCATTAATCTTTTACAAAAGCCACACACTTACCTCGAACGTCGGCGGCGGAATGTGACGGGCCTGGAATCTAGATCTGAGAGGGGGGTCTAACGGATTGCCAGGATATCGCGGTGACGGCAGCCCCAGTGCTATTACTATGAAATCTTCGCTGACTCGTACAAGACGCCACGCGTCTAATTCCGCTTGAGTGTGTTCCTGTAAATCAATTTTTTTTTATTAATTTTTATTTCATAAATATTGAATTTTTATTTTACAGAGATATTGAATAAAATTTAATAGGCAATTTAATACTTATAAATACTCAGAAATAATTGCATCAACGAAATTCTATATAGCTACATAATCATGAATTGATACCTTCAGTAATTTGTTATAGCGAGACGCCGGGATGAGAAATCTACCGTCTTCCAGGTGCATCTCACGATTTTCCAGTAAATTATTTAACACAGGCAACACGTTCCGTTCCGCCTTCTCGACACCTTCGATTATAAGAACTCGACCTTCAGTCGCGGCTCTTACTGCGCTTTGATCATGATAGTAAGCAGTGCCGCTTTTGATCTCTCTTCTCTGCTTTAAATCTGCTTCTGTGGTGTCACGAGTAAGCGCGATGAATTCTAATTCTCGTCCTGTAAGCTCCAAGAAGGCTAGCGCGAGCTCCCGCCTTCGTATACCTGGTCCACCCATCAGAAACATATCCTGACGCAAAACGTCTTTCTGGAGCATCCATTTTAAATGCCTGAGTGTCTCTTGAGAGTGAGTGTTTAACACTGCACAAAAATAAAGAAACATACATTACTCGCTCTTCAATGATTTATTAATTCCTGTAGAATCTTTTTACATTTAAACAATAGAATGCTACTTACAATATCTCCTTGGAACGTACTCCGGATTATTCGCTGGTCTCACTTCTTTTGATACATCAGCAATAGTGACAACAACATTTTCTGTAACAAATATAAATAGTCAATAAACAAATATAAATTAGTCAGTATTGAATCATCAGATAGAATTAATCAAACTTACCTGATTTACAACGTAGAGGTAATGAGAGGTTAGGCCAAAATCTATTGGATAGCTTCAAAATTCGACCCACTGTTGACAGGTGGTGAGAATTCCGTGGGATAAATAGCATTTCAAAGCAGCACCTTAATTCTCTTTAAAAAACATACTACGCACAAATAGCTACTTGTAAAAATTTTAAATAAAACAAGTGACGTGTGTATAAAACAAAGTGCTCCAAAACAAATGACGCAATTAAACTCTAAGTGTGCTATTTCAGAGCATATTAAACAGAATAATGGAGAAATTTATATTGTATTACTTTGGCATTCGATTACACAAAACTATCACAGTCATCGACATATATGATACATGACGTAAAAAATAATCTGATAGCTAAACATAACCTAGACTGTCAACAACACAGAATCACGTGGGATGATGATACAGAAATGCTTACGTTGGGAAAACAGTTGTGCAACTGTTGAATAATAATTTCTTCTAATTAGCGTATCCTTTTGCACAATTATTAAAATAAATTACTAATTTAACTTCAAGTCGAGTTTCCGAGTTCTGACAGACAAGAAATTACATTTTTTTTAAATATATTTCTGTATTAATTTCCTAATTGATCGTAATTAATGATCTATCTGCAGTGCGCATTTTCTTGGATTCTCACGTTTTATGCGATAAGAATCATAATTATTTTTGTCTTATGCAACTAATTCTACACGTATTTATGCATTCAAAGAAATTATTTAGATTTAAGAGACAAAAAGTCAGCCGTCGAATTGCTCGCAGTGCAAATAAAACGAGTGTTACATTAATATATTTCTTTATTTCGTTAGTCTTTTTATTATGTGCTTCATTATCACATATGACTGAGTTACAGTTACAATTTCAATTAAAGCTCACTAGTGATGCTGCATCTAGTTTTATCATTTCTTACATAGCAATATAATCGCCAAAAATTCTAACGCTATTAAAGCAATCATAAAATATAAAAAAAACATCGCGATTATTTTGAAAATTTTGTTTCTTTCATGAAAAAATATATATTAAAAAGTCATGAATCAATATCTATTAACACAAATTAAATGCTAAGTAGCTTAATAATGAGTGTACAAATATGATTGTGTACACGTTATACAATTACAAGAGAAGAGCACTAATTCAGTCTGTTCTTTGAACAATAATCGGAACTTTTAAGTAGAGCATTGCTTGAAAATTATTCTAAGTAATACATACTGTATTGCTTACATATAAGTAACATATTGTATACAAGAAAATTATTCTAAGTGACACATTGACAAATAATTCTATATTTAATAGTTGTCACCTAATAGTACATACATACCTAACAGTAAACTATATACTAGTTGATGCCAACTATTAAATATTTAACGTGACATACATTATACATAGTACAAAATGTTAAGTTACATAAGTTTGATGTCTATGTAATATATCACATATTTTTTTAAGATACACATGTTTAAGGCCTATTTACATACTTTCGGATTAGGGATCCTATTGAAGCACATTTTCGACTGTTTTCGTATGTAACAATTGAAAATGATTTTACATCTATCAAGGCTCTGGAGAATGGACCCGTCACGAAAAGATATATATTGGCCTTGCTGATAATTGATATCGTATCAATCTTTTATTTTATTTTTTTTTTTTTAATTTTTGTTCAGATAAAAGAATAAAAGAATATCTTTAGAAAATACTTTAGAAGTAAACGTTAATATTTCATAACAAGACTTAAAATGTTCATGTTTCAACAAAAGCAATAGGAAGGATCACATTAGATGACAATTATGCAAATATATTAAATATATGAACATTATTCTAACAGTCTTTTTACTGTATTGAAAAAAAAATTAGAATGCAATATCTATGAAGCATTCATATATTCAATACCCACTATTCAATACCCACAACCACTATTCTTGCTTTACAATTATTTTCTATCAACTAAAGTCGTTCAAAGATACAGAATAGTATTTTAACACAGCAATTAGTTGCTAAAATAAGCACCTAAGAAAATGCAGATTTGCATTATATTTCCTCTTCTTGCTTTAGAAATATCTCTAAAAATACACAGAATATGTTAAAATTCACCCGATCAATCCACATTATGTACATAAATAACATTAAAATAGGTATAGTATTAAACACTCACTAATGACTTACTTCCGGATAATCGTCTCTTCTAACATTTGCGGGATAGTAATCAACGATTAATGGACGTGGTCGTTGACCAATGCCTGAGGGTTGCTGGAGGCCGCATGCTTGTTCTTCGTTCGTGATCACAGACACCAAAGTGCTAATGACCTTCTCATCTAATGCTGACATAGCCTTGTTCGGTGCTTTCATACGTCTGAGGAACAAAGCATTCCACTTCTGCCGCAAATGCAAGAATAATTGAGCCGTTTCCGGATCCAACTTAAATACCACCCAATCATCGAGCTTAAAGATTGTCCCTTCGTGAGACTCGTCAACTTCTGAGTCTGATTCGCTTTCCGGTACAGCTGTAAATATTTTTACGAAATTACGTAGCGATGTTTAAAAAGTTTAAAAACAATACACTGTGTACATAGTACGACATTTTACTTACCTTCAGCTTCGTAAATTACATCCATCGGTAATCTAGCTGGTCCACTAAATAGCGCGACAGTTAGTGGATTAACAAGCGTGACGACTTTCACGTGACAGAAACGTCCGGTGCGACTCATTTCTTCATAAAGTAACCAATCGCACGGTAAAGATTGCACGTTTGCTGCATGCGTCTGCGCGGATGTCACTCTCGGAGACTTCGGATAATCTCTTAAGGTCGACGAGGGATGGAAGAACACCTTGACTTCCTTTCTACACGCAACAAAGTGTAAGTAGTAACGTTATTGGTTGTCTCTAACGATGATCGTGGAGTCTGTCAAGCGAAATAAACTATACGTACTGCGTCCGTAGCTGCATATGCTCTCGATCGACTCGGATCAAGTTGGGATACAAGCCTGCGGTCAGGGCTGCTTTCACCACAGCCCAATTTTCCGAATTAGAATTCAGATCCCGAATGTCCCCGGGACTTCTGGCTCTAACGAATCCAGACGCACGCAACTGTCCTAGGAGCTGTGTGCGCATTCCAACCACCATCTCCATCACGGGAGCGGAAATGAAATTTTTCTCGCAGAAGGCACGTTCCTTGCCAGTCGCTCTAGCGTTTTGCCAACCCTGAAACGCCCGCAGGACCACCATATGATCCGAGTACGTTCCGGTGGCGAATTTTTTACGTGCTGCGGTCAATGCTCTCTTTTGCGACGGTTGTGACGGTAATATAAAGGGGTCCCTGCAATAATTTCATACATGAATAAAATATTGTACTAAATAATTTATGTGAATTGCATACACAAATCATACCCACTTGTATGCTAAGCTGCAAACAATCGTTAAAATGGGATCCAAGCATTTCAGAACGACGGCGTATAGCAACATCTTTCCGAGTCTCGGTTCAATCGGCAAATCTAACAAATGACTTCCCAATTCCGTTAGATCTTCCCAAGGATCCAGGGCGTCGATTGTCTTCAATAACTGAACTGCATTTCTAGTGACCACATTAGACGGCGGTTCCAGAGCTTTATCCAAAAATTCGGCTATAGGCGTGTTGCCGGGCGTTAAATGTTTCGTAAACAAGCATAATTCTTGCAACGGTAATCGCAGGATCTCCGGCGTTTGATAGGATTGCATGTTGTTAAATCGAATTGAAGAGAACAGGCGGTAACAGATGCCTCTTCTACATCTGCCCGCTCTGCCTTTCCGCTGTTTTGCGCAAGCCTGAGATATCCAATTGGAGTTTAGTGTGCACACGCCCGATAAAGCGTCGAAAGACTTCTCTTTAACCTTGCCCGAGTCGATGACGTACACGACATCGTCGATTGTAATGCTAGTTTCCGCTATATTCGTAGACAGGATGATTTTGCGCGTGCCCTGTGGGCTGGGTTTGAACACCTTCTTCTGATCGCAGGTCTGCATGTTCGAGTGAAGGACGTACAAATTGTAGCGTAGACCTTGATTCATCTTCTTCTCGTCCGCGTTTATTTTCTCCCGCATCATGACTATATCGTCGTATCCCGGCAGAAATATTAAAATAGAGCCAGCAGGCATCTTCAGATGAATGTAAAAGATCAATTCCAGCAACAGATTGTAATCGATATTATCGTCATTGAATGTATGATGGTAAATGTCAAGCAGCATTTTGTCTTCTTCGGAGAGCGACGTGCCGGCGACATGCGTCAGATCATTATTTGGCACCGTGCAATCGTAAGTTTTCATGTACGCTTCGATTAGCTCGGCGCATTCAGTGTGATTCCTGCTCTTCGCCCAGTCCAATGCGGTCCAATCGTTAGCGGATCGTAAATTGAGATTTGCGCCCAAATTCAGAAGTTGCTCAGTCGTGTTTATGCAGCCTCTAACCGCGGCAGCCATCAACGGTGTTATAGAGGTTTCGGAATGCTGATAATCCACGGAGACATTTTCAGACAGTATAAAATGTAAGAGCTGCGCAAAATTATCTTCTCTACCATTCACCCACGCGTCGAAGACGCTCCTGTCCATTTCTTCGATCAGCCAGGCTTCCAGCTTAACTTTCTCCGGTATAGGATCGTTCTGTTGAGCTAGAATCGGAGCGGGCAGCAGACTCTTCTCGCTCTTGGTGCTCCTATTAGAATGCTGCGGCTTGTACTGCTTCCAGGACTCCAGAGTCTTTTGCTTGTCCGTCCACTTAGAAAACTCCTTTTTCTTCGCGTGCATTTCCTTCGTCATGTAACCAGTCATCTTCAATATATCCTCCAGGAAGTACACGTCCACGTCATATGATCGTCCAGGAACATTGATGACCGTGCATTTGTTGAAATATTTTGTGAAGATGGTAGTATCCATCGTTGCACTCATGAGTATCAATTTCAAGGAACGGTATTTAACCAACGCGTCCTTTAAAGCTATCAGAAGAAAGTCACAGAATCTGTCCCGCTCGTGAACTTCATCGACGATAATGTGCGTGAGCGTGGTCAAAGCAGAATCACCGCCCATTAAAGTTCGAAGTAATACTCCATTTGTGCAATATGTCAGGAGAGTTTTCGGAGCTACTCTGCTTTCCAATCTAATTTGATATCCGAAGGTCTGGCCGATCTTCTCGTCCCTCTCGAATGCTACTCTTTCCGCCACAGATACAGCCGATAAGCGCCTGGGTTGTGTACAAATAATCCTGCAAGCTTGATGCTTCTGCTGATAATGCTCCAATATGTATTGTGGTATTTGTGTAGTTTTGCCACATCCTGTTTCACCCGCAATTATGACCACTTGATGATTGCTCAATGCGTTAAGAACTTCTTCTCTAGTGTTAAAAATTGGCAGAGATTTCCGAAAATGCAGCACATCAAAATTTGTCTTCAACTGAGGTACTTGCGGTATACTGTTGTTCAATCTGCCCATTGCTTTAGTGTTTGTATTTACTAAAAAGGTGATGTAAAAAATTAGTTTGATTAAATATTTAGAATGGATTAATAATCATTTTAATATTAATGTACTTATATATTTTATTCATTTTTATACTTTAGAATCTTATATCATATCTTTTGGTAGGCCTCGAACTGTACTGCAATGCATTGAAAAATCTTATATTTTAAACAAAGAAATGATCTAGAATTCTAAAATATAAGATTTTAATGCATTGCAGTAAAGTTCTATGCCTGCCAAATGATATGACATAAGATTCTAAGGCATAAAAATGAGTAAAATGTACATTTCATTCATTTTTTAAAAGAGAATTAGTATTTCACTTACCATCATTACTAAGAGGACGTTCTCTCTCAATTGGAGGAAGTAAATCTTGACATTCCTTGTGATTTAATGGAAAACTCTGCATCAAATTATATATGCTCTGTTTTGAGATTTTTTGTAATTTTATCACAGCATCGGCTTGGACTATAGTTGAACCTTCCCTCTTATATACTGTCAAAAATCGATTTGTGCCTTTTCTGTAAAATAGGACATTATTAGATTCATCGAAGAGAATTGGTGAAAAAAATATAACGCGTGCATTGTTTAACCATACCCTCGACTTTTTGATTTCAGACCAAGTTCTCTAGCTAGTTCATGGATATATGCTCTCTCTTCTGCTGTGTACGATGATGGAAATTCTAGTTCTTTTTGATCTGGAGTGTCCAATAATTTTTTTAGAGTCAGGTTAACTGCAATCCTGGTGTCTTCCCCTATGGGGTGATGCCTTTGCTGTCTTCTACGTGGCATAGTGAATACTCAAATCACCTATTACCAACAAATCAATTTAGTATATTAACAACTGAATGCAATTGGGAAATTCACATATATAACATTGTTGTCACGTAGAATGATATCAAGAATTGTGACAATATAGGTTAAGAAATATTTTGTTTTCGTATCTTCTGGGATATAGAAATATAGAAATACAAATTACAAGATTGTGTGTACACCGTTAATAGATAATGCTTATAATACCGGTATCTACGTATTTAATTCAATATAATTGAAACTTAAACGATCGCAAAGTATACCATCCACTGTTTCTTCAGAAAAACAAAAACAGAGCAGATATAAAACTGACTGTCTACCATGATAAGTTCTTACCGCTTTGGAGTAATACGTCACAAAGGTCATGAATTTTTGCTCCGATATGAAAAGATTGCGCTAATTTCAACGGTGTGTTTTGAAATACACACGAAACTGCGCTCGAAAGCCCATTCGTTCACTAGATATACTCACTCGTGAATGTGCGCATTTGTCATCACTTCATGAGATATCTACAAGTAGTAAACGCTGAAAATGTGTATTGTTCTGTACGTCACAAAAAGTGACAAAAAATAAACGCGACGCCGATCAACGGCAATGATATTTATATCAGACAACAGCTATCAACCCCATCTGCAATTTATAGCAAAATATTCGTACTTGGTTCAAATGCTCCGTGGATAATTCAACACAGTTTCTACTTTATTTATAATATAAATATAACTTTTACAATAATACAAAAGGTATTACAAGAAAATACATAAAGATTTGCAATTAAGACGAATAGATGTAAAATTTCTTCTATTCTATTTTTTTATTCTTATATCTTTATTTTTCTGTTTATCTCATAATCAGCTCATAACATTTTCTTAAATTAGAAATGTTAATTTTAAATGAAAACTGTAAAGCTGCAAAATTACAATGCAATTTTTATTATTTTTAAGTTTACGTCTGAAATATCAATTCGCCGGATCGGCGCGCAACGTCGACGTCGCTGTCGTCGTGACTCGATTGTGCGCAACGCAGGTCTGTCGTTTGACAGCTCGATCACGGTGATCGCGGTGCGCGGTACGTGCGTACGTCGCGGTGATTGCGTTCCTTTGTGCCGCAGGTTTTTTCGTTCCGCTGACCGCGTTCTTCGTGCACGAAGACGCGCTAGAAGGGTAGGAAGTAACGAATAATCACAAGAAGCTCTTCGTGGGTCATTGCTCTGCCAGTGACGCGAGTATGTCGACGACGCCGCGACGCGAATTTTCGCCTCGCCGGCACTCGCACTGGTGCCTGGTTGCGAAGTATCAAAATCAGTTGTGATGTGTCTAAAAGCGGACGCGGTTACGCGGTGCGTAGAAATGACACTCATGCATCTCTCGTGGAATTCTTACATCTAAGAGCATCGTCGTACCGAAAGTGAGAAAGAAAGGAGAAGGGAGGAGAGAAGGCGGAGGGTAAAGAGAAAGAGTGCGAGAGAGAGAACGTAGGAGAAACGTTCTTCCTTCCGTTCCCGGCGGAAGATCGCGCGAAAGAAACGAGAAAGGCGGCCGGCCGATCGATGTGTTATTTGTGATGGGAGTGCCTGCGCGGGGAGCACTCGCGGCGATCGTGGCGGTAACCGCGCTCGCCGTGTACCTCAACAGCCTAGGCTGCGGCTTCGTCTTCGACGATATCTCGGCGATCAAGGATAACCGCGATCTCAGACCCCACACGCCTCTCAAGAATGTCTTCTACAATGACTTCTGGGGCACCCCGATGCATAAGGTGCGTGAGAGAGAAAAAGACGGGGCATCGTCCAGCCCTCGTCGGAGGACGCGCGTCGAGATCCTCCCCCCTCCCCCCTCTCTCTCTCTCTCTCTTCCCTTCCTCTATAGATCGGCCCCCTGCGTATTGATCCGCGAGCGTCCTGTCCATTTCATCCCGATCCGATCCCCCGTTCTGTCTTCCGCTTCCCTCGTCTTCCGTCCCTCGGCGTGCGTCGTCCGACACGGAGCAGGGATCGAAACCGGTATATTTCTGGAAATTTTAAGTTTCCATGAAATCAATATGCAAGAATGATTTTTATTTCTATTCTTGAGAACAAATGCTAGATTTTCTTGCGTATTTAACACCAACGATTATGAATATCGCTCATATTCTACCGATTTCAAAAAAATTGAAACTGATATAAGTTTGAGAACTTGAAATTTTGATGCTCCAATTATTCTTAAATGGCTTTTATTCGATTTTATATAATTTATGTGATGATAACAATAGATTTTTCGGCATACATAGCACCGATAATTATTATCGCCTAAATTATAATATATTATCGATTTCGAACTAGAAATGCATTGTTATGTTTTACGCAAAATACATACGACACATTCAACTTAAAGCATTTAGATAGTTCACTTTAGTTGTATCTCGTACATTTCATGTTTTTTTTTTTCTTTTTCCAAATTCTATCGATTTTGTAGAGGATGCAAGAAAATACAACCACGACTAACAAATCTCACCGTGGCGATGCTATATATGCCATTTGATAAATTATTCTGACGGTATTAAATATTTAAAATTATTAACGATTGCATACAGATTAATGTCTATATTTATCTAATCAAATTAAAAATTTACCTTTAAACTAATAGATTTCTTTATAAATCATATATTTCTGGAAACGTACAATCTACACTATTGTTTTATGAATTCACCATGTATAAAACCTATAATCTATAATATAATTTTCAAATTTTCAGAAAAAAACATAATACATTAAATAATGAAAATAAAATCTGTTTAAATAAAATCTCTTTAATCTGTAATGTCTAAAATTGCATGTTTATTTTGAATAATAAAATTTATTATTTAAACGATACCTAAGATTCGAGATACGTAGAAAATAATATTCTCTCCTCTTTATATTTCTTCTGTATATCTCTTGATTGCGTTAATTGCTTCAAATTGATAAATTGCTTTTTCCTCTTTTTTCCAAACAGGAACAATCGCACAAATCTTACAGACCTCTTTGCGTTCTCACATTCCGATGGAATTACTTAATTCATCAGTTGGATCCTATGGGATATCATCTGCTAAATGTTCTTCTACATGTTGGAGTATGCCTATTATATTTCAGGTTGGTTTCAATCATAGTTTTACACTTCGTCCTGCAACATTTTACGAAGAAACCTATAAAAAAGTTATTTCTTTAAATGTGGAGCAATGTTTCATAAAGTTTGCAACAAAGGCAAGAGAAAAAAAAATTGTATAAAAATTGTTTACAGGACCTGTTTGATGTTTCTACCAGATGCAGCAAGTTTTGTGTCATCTTTATATTTTGCTGTGCATCCTATACACACAGAAGCAGTATGTAACAATAAGAATAAATAAAGATATTATCTATTTGCAAACAAATGATACCATTTTGAATATAATTATAATTATATTCTCAGGTCACAGGTGTAGTTGGTAGGGCAGAGACTTTGTCCTCCTTATTTTATCTGGCAGCTTTAATCACATACACTAAATGTTGCAAGAGCAAACGATCTACAGGTAATGATTTTTAGTGCAAATATGGCTTTAACGACTCACTATGGAAAAACTACATTATTTATTTGTTGTATTATAGGGTGGAAATCCTTGATACTGTCTATGTTTTTTGTATTTACTGCAATGCTGTGCAAGGAACAGGGAATCACTGCCACTGCGGTTTGTGTATTGTACGAAATTTTTGTTGTACAGAAGGTAAAGACATTCAATCTTCATTTTATATCTGTATGTTCCTTATTAAATTATATTAAATTATATGAAATATTCGTAATTTTTTGATTCAGGTTAGAGCAAGGGATATTTTCTTAGCACTAAAGTCAGCTTTTGGTGGTAATAAAATTTCACCTGCATGGTCAGGCGAGGGTACAAAACGTCTGACAGCCCTTACACTTGTTACATTTAGTCTGCTTATCCTACGATTACATATAATGGGCTCAAAGTTACCTGTATTTACCAGGTATGCTTCCATGCATAATGCATGTATGTGTGTGATTTTATTTATATATGATTAATAATGAGATATACATACCTTCTAGATTTGACAATCCCGCATCGGTTGCTGCCACACCAACGAGACAGCTTACGTATAATTATCTGGCCGCAGTAAATCTAAGACTGCTATTTCTTCCAAGTGATTTGTGCTGTGATTGGACAATGGGAACGATACCATTAGTAGAAAGCTTTACCGATGTTCGCAATTTCGCAATCCTAGCTACACATGGAACTGTATTCGGACTACTCGTGACAGCTGTTATAACACGTAGCAGACAAACATCTGTCATTCTCATTATGGTTAGTATTATTGCCATTGCATGATAGATCACAAATGTAGTGGATTACAATTAATGGTGTGTTTTTTAGAAAAAAAAAAATATATTACACTTGTTCTAAAAATTTTGTACAAGTAGATCTCTTACTGTTAACAATACTAATATTCAACAAACATGTTTCCTAACAAATATGTTCCTCAAAGTCTGTAATATTTCTCAAAATACTTACAGAGTTTGGCTATGATGATACTCCCTTTTCTCCCTGCATCAAATCTTTTCTTTCCGGTCGGATTTGTAATTGCTGAGAGAGTGTTGTACGCACCTTCTATGGGGTTTTGCATGCTTATTGGATATGGATGGAGCATTTTGGCGGATAAGAAGTAAGTTGACTCACCTGTGAATGTAATTTTACTTTCATTAATTATTTGTATGGTTCGAGAAAAATACTTTTTTTGTATTTTTCAGGTGCAAGAAGCTAGTGCTATTTCTACTCATAACGCTTTTAGCGTCCCATACGACGAAAACGTTCGTCAGAAATTACGATTGGTTAGATGAATACTCGATATTCATGTCTGGTTTGAAAGTGAACGATAGAAATGCTAAACTATTCAATAACGTGGGCCACGCGTTGGAAAGCCAAGGTCGTTTTAAGGAAGCATTGAATTTTTTCAATATGGCTGTACATGTTCAGGGTGATGACATTGGAGCACACATTAATGTTGGACGAACTTACAATCATTTGAAAATGTTCAAGGAAGCCGAAGATGCTTATTTAAAGGTAGATAACATTGAACGCGAAAACTTTTATTTGACCTTCTCAGTAACATATACTTTTATATACTCTATTTCTTCTCTTTCTAGGCAAAGTCATTATTACCGAAAGCGAAACCGGGAGAATCCTACCAAGCACGTATAGCACCAAACCATTTAAATGTGTTTGTTAATTTGGCTAACTTGATAGCTAAGAATGCAACTAGATTAGAAGAGGCTGATTTGTTATACAGACAAGCTATCAGTATGCGCGCGGATTATACTCAAGCATATATTAATCGTGGCGATGTTTTAATTAAACTTAACCGTACAAAGGAAGCTCAAGAAGTTTATGAACGAGCGCTATTTTACGACAGTAATAATCCTGATATCTATTATAATGTAAGTATTGAATTATCGAAGTAGAAATGCTCTATCAAACTTTAATAAAACGATTAAAAAAAGATTTCACACTGGAAATTTTAATATTAAAAATTGTCGCAGCTTGGTGTTGTATTCTTGGAACAAGGGAAAGCGTCCCAAGCTCTGGCATACTTGGATAAAGCTTTAGAATTTGATCCAGAACACGAACAAGCGTTACTGAACTCCGCTATATTACTCCAAGAATTAGGGCGGGCAGAATTACGTAAAGTGGCTAGAGAAAGGCTCCTAAAACTTTTACGGAAGGTACTTGTCTTTTTTTTTCAAATACTTGCAAAACTATATAATTATATCATTAACGCGAGTTTATCGCCTGCTTGCAGGATTCTAATAACGAGCGCGTACACTTCAATTTGGGAATGCTGGCCATGGACGATCATGACAGCGGTGCCGCGGAACGTTGGTTCCGCAATGCTGTCGCATTGAAGGAAGACTTCCGCTCCGCATTATTCAATCTCGCGTTACTGTTGGCGGACGAGCAACGTCCGCTCGAAGCGGCACCGTTCTTAAATCAATTGGTCAGATTCCATCCGGATCACATAAAAGGCCTAATTCTGTTGGGAGACATTTACATCAACAACATAAAGGACCTAGACGCTGCGGAAAATGTAAGGCATCGCGTGCGCGTAGTTCATTCGAAATATTTTATTGAAACCTTTTTACAACAATTAGAGCAATTCTGGACGAGTAACGTTAACGCCAATTTCAGTGCTACCGCAGAATACTGCAACTGGATCCCGCCAACATTCAAGGACTGCACAATCTCTGCGTCGTGATGGTGGAACGCGGTAAATTAGGTTTAGCGGCGCAATGTCTGGAACATGCTGCCGCCCTCGCGCCGCATCAGGACTACGTACAGAGACACCTGTCGATTGTGAGAGCTCGCATTAATCGTCAATCGCCGGAGGAACGCGACACCGATGTCTTCGACGATTCTTTTTGGAACAGCAATGTGAACGATAGGCCCTTCAACACGGAGGCGTCGGAAGGGCAATTTCTGGGCAAAACGGATTCCGTATTCACGAATCACGCGACGGTTCACAATCACATAGGCAGTAAGCAAAGCAATACCGATTCTCTGAGTAATATTATACACTTAAAAGGTCCATCAAAACCTGCCCGGGCGATGAGCGGCACAACGGAAACGAAAGACGGGCAGCGTCCTAAGCAAGCGGTCCCCGAGCTGAGTAATATCGTGGAGCCTACCACGGACAGGGTTTTCGATAGGATTATAAGCGCTGACGTAACGAAGCTAGATATCACGCAGAAGCACGGCTCAAAACACGCAAATTCCGATCAGTTCAATCAGAGCGCTGCCGCGACAGTCGGCGGCAAGCAAGGTATTCAACAGACAAAGGACAGTGCGTTGTCATAGTACTAATGCAAAATCCGCCGAATACTGTAAAGTTATGCATATAACGAAAAGTTATGGTGGTACAGTCATATAGAGCTAATGTGTGAATATAAAATGGATACAGAGTATTGTTTTATATGCTGTATAAAAATAGGACGTTTTATAAAATATATTTAAAAGAATCGTGCATTTTATATTTCCCTACTTACGTCAGTCCTCATACTTTTAAATCGATTTGCATGCTTTACACGCTTAATAGAATTTCGAATCAATTGAATAAGAATATAGACGATCGTAATAATAGAAAAACTATATTTCTTATTAATTACTAAAAAAATAATGTTATCTATGATACATTTTTAATTCATTGATTTATTGATAAAGTATTTTATTGAAATAACATCATTAAATTTTCAGACAAGATCTATAAACAAGATTATGGCTCTTGAGTAAACAAGAACAGTTCATTATAATGTTTATCGTATAAAGACAAAATGCAGAATACTGCAAAAATTTACTCAATGTCAAGTTATTATAAAAAAAATATCGATTCACGAAATTGTTACTAATTACTTTACATATTTAAAAAGCATATAAAACTTTTGCAATATGTTAAATATCTAAATATAAAAAAAAGAATACAACATTTCTGTTGTGTATAATAATTTTGATAATTTAGTACAATTATAGCAATTCCACATAAGATATGATATTTTTTTAAACAAAAAAATATTTAAATAAGCACTGATTATGTTTTATTCAAATTATTATATGTATAGGCGTATGGCCTAAGGATTGTGTTCGACTGGTGAGAAGTGAGATAGAGTCAATTGTGTAGAAATGTGTTTATTTCTTTGTCAGAGAGAAGTATGTATGTACAGGTGTGTGAGTAACTTGAGTGCGCCAGCGGCGCATTCGCGGCAGAGTGTAAGGCCGCGAGTTTCGAATGAAAGGTGACGGGCGCGGTAAGATATTACCGGCCGCGTCTGCGTGGTTGGAATCGGGTCCTTAACAGGACGATTCATGCGAGGGTGCGTGTTGCATCCCGGCGGCGAGGTTTGCGTTGCGGTGGAGTATGTCTCCGTTGTGCCATGCGCTGCGACCGTCCGGCTCTCGATGTGAGTCGCAAGTGAGTCTGCGAGCCGAGGCGGGAGAGGCCTTCGCATTCGGATGTCCCCGGAACGTGAGTGTCACGTTGGGGGCCGAGTCAACCGGGCACAGAACTCTAAGGGAATTATTTTCCGCTGTAGAGTCTGTGGTGGCGACGGCGATGCTGGTGCGTCAGCTGACCGTAGCTGTACATCCTACGTGAGGTGTGCGGTCAGAGCTGAGACTGAGTCTTTCGCTTCCGTGCCTTCCCAGGCACTGTGAAAAGTCGAGAAGACTTGCTGGTTGCGCTCTTCGAAGCAGAGCTGTGACTCCGTTCAAGGGCCCTTAGTGAGAGCTCGCCTTGAAGCGAGTGAGTGAGTAAAGATCTGCGGAGCAGCTCTTTTATATCTCGTCGATCGAAGCTTGATCGCGAGAAGGTTCTTCACCGCCTGCGCCACCTGGCGGTGGGTCCGCAAGCTTGTAACTGGTAGAAGGCCTGCGGCGCGTAGCGGCGCCGCGGCGTATTATGCCGCTTCAGTAAGCTGTGTGGCGGTGAGCCGCCACAGGACCCCCTTGGCAGTTTTTAAGCCTGAAAACGAGTAGTTTGTTTTGATGTTTTGCTGCTCCTCTTCTTGTCGGCTGTGGAGGGTCTTGACTGT